TCTTACAATCTTCGCACTCCATATATAGACTAACATATTTGCGCTGTTGCCCCCAACCACACTTGGAGTGGGTTGTTTCCGTAGGTGGATTTTTGACGCGGGTCTTACCCCGTGTTGAGATTGCGCTGGAACCCCCATTCCCTATACTACTCAGGTAACACTGGAGTCTTAAATTTAATTGACCGCGATGTGACATATTTCCGCCTTGTTGTAAAACTCTTGTGTCCAAAATAGGTACCTTGTTGTATGTAGTCACTTGACTCAAATTCTTTTCAGCGCCAAATTATTTACTGTCATAGACTCACTATCTTATCATAAACGACAAATAACAGCTACAATGTAATATGTATCTAACAATACCGTGGGCGTTAAGGGAATAAAACGTTTCAGGCCTCCTTAAAATAGATCAATTCAGGATGGGCATCAATATTTGTTCAATAAAAAGACCACTTTGTTTAATTCAGGGCGACGCTTACAGAACTAGTACATTTACATTTAATATATAATCATCGATGAAATATCTAATTTTCCCTATTACTAAAAAGGGATATCTTTACGTGTGAAAATATAACCATTGGTAAGAATTCTTAGGAGTTGCATCAAATAGGGAAAAAAAATCACCTATACTGTATTTCATTGATACTTACATGTTAAACAGAATATTAACGCATTGAGATACGTATTTTATTTTCTCGTGTTAAGAACATTTTACTCGTTCGCTGCGCTCTCTCGTGAGATATCACCTCAAAACTAGAAGATAAAATCAGTATCTCCGCGCGGCCATCTAATATCGTCTATATTGTGGCATTGACATTAAAAGTTAAAAGATACGCATTCCTCTAAGATAAAGCACGTGTTCTTATGGAACACAATCAAAAGATAATATATTGCTTTCTGTATAACTGATTCATATTTTCTCCGATACTGAAGGTCCTTCTAATGGCTGGAGCTCATGGAGTGACTATGGCCCTTGTGACAGTAACTGCAGGAAGATTCGTCAAAGGTTTTGCTCGTCTTCAGATGTCTCCAACTGTCCAGGAGCTGATACATATGGTGTAGGGACAGAAAATGCCCAATGCAGTCCTAGTGAATGTCAGGGTAATCAAACGCATCCTATGGCGAACTCGTCGATACATTCTTATGATTCTTAATCTGCTTAACTATAACAAAAACAGGCTGTAAACGTCTAATAGAACAATTTAGATGTTAACTATTAATACCGTGTCTAGCCCAGGTCCCCTGCCTGTTGATATTTTCTCGTTAATTTTAGAAAAAAAGACGCGAAACTTTCTTGGACAGTTAAAAGTTATGATTTTCCCTCAAACAAGTTTTACTCAGAAACTATTTTTACACTGAGAAATAAGGTCATTCAGGTCTGTAAAAATAATCACTGATTTGTTTTGTACAAATTCTCTATAGTTGACTAAGGCGGCTTATTAATTAAGTTTGACTGGAGGGCGATGAATGGAGGTTGTCTTTTTGGATGATAATGCTGGCAGATTTTTCTTCAAGGCTTCATTGGAATTCTTATTCGTTTTGTTCTCCGCTATTTTTGCCATGTTTTTTGTCCAATTATTGATTATTTACTTGAAGGGATTTTGTAATTCCTATATAATTTGTATGCAGCTGTCATAGACGGTAGTTGGGGGCGTTGGTCATCATGGAGTCAGTGTAGTGCTACTTGTGGACAAGGAACTCACACAAGAACGAGGCAATGTAACGATCCCCCCACTCAAAATGGCGGTAAACCGTGTTCAGGAAACAGCAAAGAGACCAACGTTTGCAAGCAAAAAAGATGTGGTTTAGGTAAGACAATGTAATGTAATGAATTTAAAAAAGTAATGCAGGATAATAAACGAGAAATAAACGATGTTAATTAATAATAAACATTCTAAAATAGCTGTTATAAATCTTGCGTTCTGATTGGTTGGGAGTGATTATAACTGCACACATCAAGCGCTTTCTATTTCTTCAATAAAGGTATTTCCTCTCCCATCAGGTCCTGATGATTGCGAGTTCGAAATCGATATGTGCAGCTGGACTACCGACCAACAAAATAACTACCAGTGGTACCGTCAGCAAGGATCCACACCCAGCTCATCAACTGGTCCTGATGGTGATGCAACAAAACCTTTGAACGGAACAGGTTAGTGCATCCATATCCAAATGCTATGACGACACTGGARTTATCTTRTCGTAAAGCTATTTGATTGATAACTTATCTTTTGTAAAACATACGCGATGCATAGCCTTAAAAACGACTATTATTTTTAAAGGTTTTTACGTCTACGCCGAGTCTTCTTCACCTGTACGGCAAAACCAAAAAACAGAGCTCACAAGTCCAGTCTTGACCGCTACTTCTGGACGATGTCTTCAGTTTGCATACAACATGTATGGATCAACCATTGGGTCACTAAATGTCTATGTACTGGATGTCAAAGCAGGAGCAAGGAAAGGGATTTTCAGGATAAGCAGTAACCAGGGACAACAGTGGCATAGAGCAAGTGCAACTATTACAACCTCCAATGACTATAAGGTAGTCATTAGGCATTCTTGTAATTATTAGTGAAAAGAATTTAATTCTCAAATCCTCACTGATCTTTGACTCAAACACTGATGGCCAACGCTGCATTCCGTGTAAGTTAGTATCGAGCAGTGCGAGTGCTTTCATCTCTTGCATCCTATGACCCTGCGCCCATTCTGTATGGATATATGCTATGTTTATCAAAGCCATGCAATTTTCAACATAAACATTTTTCTTGACATTTCATGAACAGGTATGGCATAGGTATTTTTAGCTTCCGTATTAACCTTTCTGGCTGCTTATCAAAAACAATTCCCAGCTTTTAAAAATATTTTTCTTGACATCTTATAAACAGGTTGTGTTTGAGGTCATCAGGGGATCTAGCTATACTGGTGATATAGCACTGGATGACATATTCTTTAAAGATGGCCAGTGCGGTGGTAAGGGCCCAACAAATACAACCTCGCGTCCTTTGACTGCTGGTCCTACAACTTCCCGTCCTTCGACGGTTGGCCCTACAACTTCACGTCCCTCGACGGCCGCCCCTACAACTTCAAGTCCCTCCACTTCAAGACCTGTGACCTCAAGCCCTACACCCCAAGGTAAATTGTGAATTTGAAAAAGTACTTTAATACCAAGATAGCTACATTATATTTAGTCTCAATCTAGTATTTCGGACAAATTTGCCAACAAGTACAATGCCTATATGATCATTTCTTGGTCTTCTTCCTCAACCTAGGCCCTTTTTGGTAGTAACTTCGAAAACAATGGTGACCGTAGTAATTGAATTTAATCCCAACCAGGAAAATGTGGTATTTAATTTTCTTCAGGTCCTGTTGACTGCGACTTCGAAATCGATATGTGCAGCTGGACTACGGACCCCAAAAATAACTACCGGTGGTACCGTAAGCAAGGATCCACACCCAGCTACGCAACTGGTCCTAAAGGAGATGCTACAAAACATTTGAACGGGAAAGGTTAGTGCAACCATATCAAAGTGTCATGACGACACTGGAATTATCTTGTCGTCAAACTAGTCGATGGATAATTTATCTTTCGTAAAACATAGACGATGCATTGCCATAAAAACGACTATTATTTTTAAAGGTTTTTACGTCTACGCCGAGTCTTCTTCACCTGTACGGCAAAACCAAAAAACAGAGCTCACAAGTCCAGTTTTGACCGCTACTTCTGGACGATGTCTTCAGTTTGCATACAACATGTATGGATCAACCATTGGGTCACTGAATGTCTATGTACTGGATGTCAAAGCAGGAGCAAGGAAAGGGATTTTCAGGATAAGCAGTAACCAGGGACAACAGTGGCATAGAGCAAGTGCAAATATTACAACCTCCAATGACTATAAGGTAGACATTAAGCATTCTTGTAATTATTACTCAAAAAGAACCTTAATCTTCATATCCTCATTGATCTCTGACCCAATCCGTATACATAGTTCATTAATTCTAGCTAATTCTTATTTCTCACTGGATTCTAACAAGGGCGAATCCAGCCAACATTTTAGGGGGGGCTAATTGAGTTTAGGGGGGCTAATTGAGTTTCTTCCGTCAACACAACGGAAAACGATATAAAAAAGCATCGCTTTTTTCTGCTGAAGGGGGACTTCAGCCCCCCCTCCCTCCCCTGGATCCGCCCTTGTTTAAAGATAACTTCCGCTGAGGTTGTCGAAATGTCAATCACCACCAACAACAGTCTTTCTCAAGACTACACTCATCCGGACGGTCACATTTCACACCAAAAATAGCTAATTCTGTATTCAGTTTATGTTGGTGTCGAGCAGCGCGAGTGCTTACATTTGTTGCATTCCATGATCCTACACTCCACCTGTAGGGATTCATAATGTCATGCTTAGCAAAACAAAGCATTTTCCACCTTCAATATTTAACATTTTATGAACAGGTTGTGTTTGAGGTCATCAAGGGAATTAGCTATACTGGTGATGTAGCACTGGATGACATATTCTTTAAAGATGGAAAGTGTGCTGGTAAGGGCCAAACAAGTACAACTTCCGCTCCTTCGACGGTTGGTCCTACAACTTCACGTCCCTCGACGGCCGCCCCTACAACTTCACGTCCCTCCACTTCAAGACCTGTGACCTCAAGCCCTACACCCCAAGGTAAATGGTGAATTTGAAAAAGTACTTTTATACCAAGATAGCTAGATTAATTCAGTCTCAATCTAGTATTTCGGACAAATTTGCCACAATGCCTATATGATCATTTCTTGGTCTTCTTCATGAACCTAGGCCTTTTTTTGGTAGTGACGTCTAAGAAAAATATGTTCGTGGGTTGCCATTGTAATTCAGAGGGTTTTTCGATGGGCAGTTATAGCAGCCACTAAGAAAATACTATTCACAAAGTGTCATTCGAACAATAATAAATTCTAGATTTAATAAAATAAATAAGTGGTTGGAAATAGAAAGTATGAATTTTAGAAACCAATCCAAATCGAACTAATAGGGTAAATAACAATGTTAAGACACAATGTACTCTTGATTTCAGTGTTTGTGGATGGTTGTAATTTTGACCAAGATATGTGTGGTTGGAAGACTGGACCGGGGACGAACACCTTTTCGTGGACCAGAAGGTCAGGTTCAACACCCAGTTCTCGCACAGGACCTAATGGTGACCATACTTCAGGTTCCGGTGAGTGGTTATTAGAGGTAGAGGTGACCTGCTGATTTTTTTCGCTCCTAGAGGAGGTTATTTGAATACATGTGGGATCTTTCTGCCCAGAATTCGTTATAGAATATGCATGTGGGAAATATCATCTCGGCGAATGTAAAAATGGCATTTATTTCCAGATCTAGGTTAATCTTTCTAATCCACTGAGAAACGTAGGTCTTTATACAACAATTATTTCATATATAGTATAAGCGGGCAAAATAGTGCGACTTAGGAAGATTGATATCCTTTTGTGTGTGTGTTTTTTTAAGGATCATACGTGTATGTGGAAACCTCATATCCTTCTAAACCAAATCAGACAGCTACCCTGGTCAGTAAAGTCTTCCCTCCCGCACCTTCTGGTCGCTGCATGAGTTTCTTCTATCACATGTACGGTGCGACCATGGGATCACTTAACGTGTATATCAAAAGCGCCTCTACCCCAGTTCAATCCAGGGTATTCAAGATTATAGGCGACCAAAAGAACAAGTGGCATCAAGCTGTGGTCAATATTTCAAACATGATCTGTGATTACGAGGTAATTGTGTAATTTAAATTGTGTTAAAGATGATCAGGGCCCGGTTGGCTCAGCGGTTCAGTCAGGTTGTCATCGAACTTTCTTGACGGAGGTCGTGGTTCGAGTTCCGGCCGGACCAATACTCATGGTCTTAAAATAACTGAGGAGAAGGTTCCTGCATCGGAGGGAAGTAAAAATATTTAAATTAAACAAATTTACACTAACTTTGTTCAAAGGTAAAAAAGGACTTAAAACAATCAAATAAGCTCAAACAAAGTATTTTGATTCGCAAAGTCGGAGTTCGCCTGTGTTGTAATTGAAAGCCGCGTTTGTCACTTCAATTAAAAATTTTCCTAATTTTAAATCATGTGTCTTTTATCTTCTTTTTTTTCTTTTCTTTTTTTGAAAGAATCACCTCTGTATTTGCACTAAAACAATTATTTCCCTCAGCCTCAGCGAATATCGTCGAGTATTTACCGAGATGCGAGTCTTCGGAGAAAAATTGTTAAATATTACGTACTTATTGACTGAGTGGGATGGCCGTACGGGAAAATATTTGGCTCGAGGTGATGCCGTACAAATGACCGAGAGCCAAATATTTTCCCGTACGGCCCGAGTCAATAAGCATTTTATCATATGATCCTCACGAAAAGAAAAATAATAAAATAAAAGAAAGTCGCAGGTTTCGAGCAGGGCCGTACGAATTCGTATGGGCCTGCTCGCTCATTTTCCCGAAGGTTTTTTTAAGAGCGCGCGCCCAGGCAGATACGGGTCATATGATAAATATATATATTCATTTGTTGATTTTCAGATTGTATTTGAATCTGTCCGAGGGACTTCGTATCGTAGTGACATCGCGCTTGATGACATCACTTTTAGTAAAGGCCCTTGTCCAAAAAGGTAACGTGTTGCATAACCCCATATTGTAGATACTATAATATGTACTAGCTGCGAAGGACGGTGCCAAATCTTCGTCGGTAAGGGACGGACCATTAGATAGTTGTTGAGGGGGTGGGG